CAAAGGGACAGATTGTCTTCTCAGTTACACTAGTAAAAATCAGGAGTGTCTTCACGGAAAATATAATAGTTATACCATGGAACAAGGTGAGAGAATAAGTCCTATGTGATCACCGTAGAATCTCTTTAGAAGCACATTTCCCCCATACACCAGAGTAAATGTTATTGTTTGAAGGGCTCTTCTTCCCCTCTTCTGCTTTCTTATGCTAACCTTCCCTTCAAAGGCACTGTGCTAGATACAGCTTCTATTCTATTCTATATAGCCCCCCATGCCACACTTGCCAGCCTAGCATCTGTGTGCCTTCTAATAATGCACTAAGCAATGTGACTAATGTCTGTCACCTGTTGTTTGTTCATTCATCCTCTCCCCCAGAGGAAAAGTGTGTGCAGTGGAGTCTGCAGCAGAGTGGAGTGCTTGTGGTTTTTAAATATGCATGCTGTTATGTTAGAGAAGCCAGGTTACAGAAGCACCCCTTGTACTTGGAGCAGTGGGTGGTGAGGTGTGGGATAGTTCTTGGTTCCTGGTAAAGTTCATCCTAGGGTCCTGGATCAGTCCCTGAATAGGATATATGCCTACACGCATATGACAAGCCTTACCCTTATTGCTGAGAGCTCCACTATGCCAGAGAAATAAAACTCTCAACCAGGGTGTTTATCCTAGAGTTTTAGGTAGCCTTTTGGACACCCTGATGCCAGGCCATGGAGCATCATGAAGATAAAGGCTTTGGATCTTTGACCAAGAACTTGGCCCTCTGATAGTTAACAGGAGGCCAACACAATAATATGCTCCTGATATTTGGTAAAGTTGAGGAGCTGCACTGCAGTGTTTGTACTAGCTGAAGTGTTATAAGTTCTGATGGTAGGGCAACTACTCCAGGTGCCAACTTGTGTGTGTGGGGGGAGGTGAAAAAGATAGCTGCCACCAGCAGCAATCTGAGTTATGCTTATGGTTTAATGGTAACTATCAGTTGCTGCTATCCCAGTGCCCTTGGTGCCTGGCCGCATTGCTACGCTGCTGAGTTCTGATGGCTTTATACCCTGATATATTGTATTGGTGTAACCCACTGGATAGTGATAAAGGTATGAATCACTGTGGCCAGATCCCCATCCACCTTCAAAGTCTGTCACTGATGCTTGTTGGTTTGCTGAATTCCCTTGAGCACAGTTCTGTGCTCTGCACATTCTCTCAGGACATGAGCATTTTGCTTCTGTATTCTCTTCCTCCGTGTTTGCTCTGCACCATGTTGAGTCTGTAAATATTTTGAAAAATCTCTGTTTAATGGGAATGCACTCTTAACCCTTGAGAAGGGGATTCAGTTAAGAAAGAGAAGCATAAATCCACTCACCCCTTAAGAAACAGTAGCCCTCTTCCCTCAAGAGAAATATGATTACAGCCCATAAGCTCAGAACTCTAAATCTGATTCCCCATGTAGCAGTGAATGCTACAGTGCTGCTGTGTTGTTTTAATAAAAGTCCCGGGGAGGCAAGGTGAGGGAGCAGGAAACAGGCTGCTATCCATGTACACACCTGGCAGGAGTGAGTATGTCAACAAAGGAAAAACCCAAACCAGAATCCCAACTGGTGATGAAAGCCTGCTGTCTTGTTTCAACGTCTCCCCTGTTCAGCAGTTCAGTATCACAGCTTCGCTCATAATTACAATCATTATAAGCGAAGATAGTGCCTTTCTGTGTTGAGGCCTGATGTAACGTTCACTGAAGCCCACAAAAATCTTTCTATTGGCTTCGGACTAGGGTCTGGCATAGCCACTGAGATACTGAAGTCATCAATTAAATGCTCTGTGACATTCTGAAGTTGAATAGATCTCCTTTGGTCCTCTGCTCTGAGACAAGAAACTGGAAAACTGAGACATGATAAGCTGGATATTCAAAAGGAGCTCTCTCCTTTTTACTCTGGTCTTTGCAGGACAGGAGTGGAACTCTGAGGAACAGGCTCAGGTGCCAGGAAGGATGTGGGCTAGTAGGGAACCACAGAGGGCCTTAGGAGCACAGTTCTAGAGTTGTGTGTTAGGACACATATGGCAGCTTCACTGTCTTCTTGGAGTGAAATCTTGGCCCTATTGGGCATGTCTACATCACTGCAGTAGCAGGTCCAAGTGAAGATGAGGCTGAACAGGCCCCCTCTACCTGAGTCTGCAGATGTACTCCGGACCCAGAAGTGCATCAGTGAGGCAGCACCAGGCTTTCCCCAGCACCCAAGAGCCTGAGAACCATCACTGGTGATGAGCTCAGAGCAGCCTCACAGGAGAAGTTCTGTATCTGGAGCATGTCAGAGAAAGTGCATGAGAAAGGTGTGCTCAGACTGTCCTCCCTGGGACCCATAGTGATGTGGACAAACCCACCAATGTCAGTAAGAGTTCTACAATTGACTTGAATGAGGCTAGGATGTTGCCTTCCATGTCTAACAATGCTGGGAACCTTCCAATTCTGCCTGCTTGTCATGTTGCTGACTGCCAATGAAACTGCTATGAGACAACCTTCACGTCTTTTCCACTTCTGTCTTCTCAGATGTTCAGCTAGGGATTTTTTCCCTAGGCCCCCTTCATGCATGCAGGTAAAGGTGTGATTGGATCTAATGCACGATCCATGCAATTGGGCAGTAAATCCAATTGTGCCCAATCCTGGCTCCCCTTGCATTGGCAAGAAGCAGGCAGCCACAGCTGGGAGCCCCTTTGCTGAACTGAAGGCTCTGCAGCTTATGGGATTGTAGGTCCTGGCTGTGCCTCATGCACAGCCAGAGCAGAGAGATCCCACAGCTGATGTAAGGTGCAGCCGGGACCCAGAGCCTCATCAGGTGCTGGACTCTTGTTCCCAGCTGCAGGTGAGGTGCAGCCAGGACCAACAGCCCCACGTAGGCCCTAGGGTTTTGCATACCCCCACCTCATGGGGAACATGGCAGCTGCAATCCCTAGGGCTCTGGGGTTACACCCCTGTGGCTGGGAGCCCTGTCAGCTGATGGGCTCCCAGTCACAGGGGAGACCCTGCTACACATGCAAATTATAGCCAGATGCTCTTGAGCTTTAAAGTTACTACACATTTTTGAGGTCTAACTATAGTGTTTGGAGCTTTTTATCATGTGATAGATGCTTTGAATGTGTAGCTGGTTGCAAGGTAATTGTGCAATTAGCTAGTTAATTGCACGATACCCACAACATGTAGAGGGGCCCTAGTATCTCTTCTGCTTTCAGGAAGTCCATCTGTCTGTCTGTCTCCTTTCTTACCTTGTAAGTCTGATCACTCACTTTCTTCTTTCTCCCTGTCTCCTCTCCTTTCTCTCATGTACCCAGGGAGGAATGTGTCCACAAGAAGTATTTTTATTTGGCAGTTTATATACGCTTTCTGTTTTGGCTTCAGGTACTGAGATAAGCAGCCAATGGAGCTGAGATCTCCTGTGTCACGTTTTAGCTCTTTCCATCTGATAAAGACTACCTCACCCACTGCATGGACTTCAGAGGCATGATTACAAGGGCAAAGGAATAGCATTAACCTTGAAAGAAGAAATATAAGGGCAGACTAATGTTCATGGGCTGAGCTGCTTTGACTTAGAGACATCACTTGGGACTCAAACACTAGTTCTATAGAGGGAGCAAACAAATGTTATAAGAGATCGAGATACTATGCACAGGCCCAACTTCACTCTTACCAATAAGTTTCTTCGTGTGACTCTGGCAACATTAAGAAGCTGTAAAAGAGGCTTAAATTGTCCTTGCAGAATATTGGAGCTGTACCAGGCATTTCTGACCTGTATGGAGCGGGTGTAATGCATCTCCGTGGCCCCTCCCCTTGTCCTGGGAAGAAGGTGAGCAGGAATGGGCCAGGGTGTGACTGGAGAGCAATGTGCTCTGATGCCTCAGTGCCAGTACAACAGCCTGTGGAAGACTAGTACCACCCCATGTCGCTTGTAACAGTTTTAACTGTATCAGGGGCTGGCTGGGTACATAGACTGACCCAGAATTAAGGTGGCACAAAAGTGGCCCCAGGGCACTTTCTGTTCCTGTCAAGAATGAGGACACAGAACCTCGGTGCAGGTGTTTAGATGCGATACATAGGAGACTTAGAAAAAGACTGGGCTTTACTGCCTGGACCCAAATGCACATGGATGAAGGCTATTAAAGATTATCTCCCTGGCACGTGGCAGAGGACAGTACCTGAGTCCGACTGGCCAATGCTGAAAGAGCGCTAGGTGTTCTGATGCTTGTTTCTTAAAGTATCCCAAACTATCTCTTCACCACACTGCATCTGTCAGCCTGATGAAAGGAAGTACTCACCCTGGGCCCAGACCTTGGTGCCTTGTATGGTGCAGTAGCATGATGAGGGGCCGGAGATTTGTGTGTTTTTTGGGTCACAGAGATCTGCCTTATTTCACCAGCTCATCCGTCATTGTGTATATTCAGCATGCTACATTAACTCACGCTTTCCTTTTGGTGTAGATGCACACAAACCCACTATACTTTTCCAATAATATATGTGTGTGTGTGTGTGTGTGCGCGCGCGCACATTTACGCACACACTCATGCATGCACAAGATTGCTTCTGGTTTTCTGCAGAGCTAAATCTGTTTGTGTGTCCTTGCATGTATTAGTGGGTGGAGTGCATACTAACACAAACTAACCACCGCGTGCTGATGGCGGTGCTGCACATGTTAAAATAGCATTACCCAATCTTGTTGTCGCTCTTCTTCCACTCTCTCCCCTCACTCAACAAAGTTTAAAGAGAACAAGCTCCAGCTGTTAAAATAGCTCCGGCCTCACTTGTTTAATCTATTTCAGGCATCCTGAGGGCTGGTTGTGTCTTGACACAGAGAGAATACAGAGTCATTGTAGAAAAACCACAGCCACAAGGGGCTGTCGTCCAAAACAAAACCATTCCCCAGCTAACCTAGAGCAATTTCATTTTTACCCCATTCCTCAATCACATCTTAAAATAAAGTGTGAGACCATTTTGTTTTGTTTTGTCTCATTTTTATGGTTCCTTTGCTTCTCAGGCTGAGCCCAGTGGTACAGAGGACTGAAACTGCTGACAGGGCTGAGGCACTTTGGACCCATGGCGTACTGGAGTTACTGGGATCTCGAGAACCTCCTGAAGGAGATCTCCATACAAGGTTTGTCAGGGCTCATTTTTAAATTCCAAGTCTTTGGCTGGTTTATATCAGCAGACATCCATTGAAATCTGTGGACCAGAGCCTTGGCTGTTATAAATCGGTGCCACTCCATTGTTTTACTGGATTTTTGCCCATTCGGCCCCTCTGAGGGACTGTCCCTTTTGGCTTCAATGAGCTGTACAGTTTTACATCAGCAGGAGATTCAGCATGCTGATTTCAGTGGAGTCACACTGATTCACCCCAGTGGCCCATGCGGCATGAACACCTAGCACCCCGTGAATCAAGCCCTGATGTATCCAGCTACCTGCTCCAAATATACAACACTTCTTACCTTTCCCTATCCTTCATTCTCTAGGGTCTGTTTCAGCTTCTGCTTTTACCTGGGGCTGTCTGTCTGCTTTTCTGTCAAGGACAACAAGTCACACCAGAGCTAGCCCACAAACGCCTCCAAATTAGTGGTTTAGTTAAACCTCCATGTTTGGGCTGCACTGTGTCAGAGTTTGTAAATATTTCCAAAAATCTCTATTCAGTGGGAATGCGTTCTTAGCCCTCAAGAAGGGGATTCAGTTAAAAAAAGGTTAAGTTTTTCCACCCCATAAAGCACTAGCTCTCTTTCCTCAAGAGAAATGTGATTGCAGGATGCAATCTGCTTGTTCTCATAGACCAGTAAAACAGGCAAGGAGGGTCCTGTGCCTTTAAGAACAGATAGTTCAGCTGCAAGGAAGGTTTACAACCGGATTGCCCTGGCATTTGAACCTGGTTGCTTTGTAAATGAACTCTGAGAGTTTAATTTGGATTTAATATCATTGCATTGTGACACATACATTATGACCTGATGCCTGCAATGTTCTCCTTCGTGTCCCTGTAGGCGTTATGTTTGTTGTAAAGAGAAAAACAGGATGAAGAGTGACATGGGTCGTGATACAGCAACAGCATGCTTCTAAATTTGCAAGCAAAGATATCAAATGCATGGGTTTCCTAGTCTAATGCATCAAATACTTTGAGCCTAATGTAAGGATAATAAAACTAAGTAGATACGTAGAGAGTGAATGATACAGGTCAGGGATTGTATTTGTTTTACTCCTCCATACAGTCCTAAGTACAATGGAGACCTGAGCCTTCATGGAGACCTCTAAGACAAGTCATTATTATAACTAATGACAATGACAACATCCCCCCAACATAATTATTATAATATAAACAATATATGATAGTCTATATAATATGATCTATATTTTAATATATTATTAGCTATGACACTAATATCGAGAGGCCAAGTAGTAGGAAAAAAACATATTTAAAAATTTTTTATTGATGAGAGCTAAGGGGTAATCTGAATTTCTACCCTATCAGTTGGTTTTCATTTTCGCAAAGTGAAAATTGAACTACTTAAGTAAAATTGAAATTTTTTCCTTTGGGGGTTTTTTTTTTGGTGGGTTTTTTTTTGGAAACTATTTTCCATCAAAAAATCAGTGTGGCCAGATATTCTCAATGACTTTTATGCAACAGTAAGTCAGAGGGTTCGTTTGCAAGTGAGATATCACTTGGACTTAATGAGGGTGAAGTTGCACACTCCATTTAGACCGTACTAAGTCTGGGGAATGTTAAGCATTGTTCAAATTAGACTGTGCTGTGAGCAGTTGCACATTAAGGGCTAATACAATTTCTTGACTGCACAGTTCTGACTTGCAGCTAGGGAGCTGGCAAGCAGAAGAGCCAAGACACCTGAGCTGTATCCCTACTTGCCGGGGTAGAGGGTTGGGAGCAGTGTATACTGGGATGCTGGAGGACTGCAAATTGTTCATTTTATCTCCATGGAGCACAGTGAAATAACCCTAACATGAGCTAGAAATCATGGCCTAGAGTTAACCCTCACCTGAAGTGGTGTAACTATGAGACACTCAGAGGGCACTTAGTATGAGTTAATGAGCTTTAATGTGCAGATGCTTGCATGCGTTTAGTACGGTCTAAGTGTAATGTGTAACTTCATGGGATACACCAGTGGCCTGATCCAAAGCCTATTAAATCAGAGAGTTTTTCTATTGATCTTAATAGGCTTTGGATAAAGACTAATGGATACTTGCATGTTAAATGTGCTTGGAAAGTAAGTGTCATATCCAACTCTAGTGGCTAATCCATGTAGAGGATTACAGTTTAATACACCTTAATAGCATACCTTAATAGGTAACTGAATGCCTTTGTAATCTGAGGTAATAAAGGTCAGTGTTTCAGTGTCAAAAGTCTTGGCTCATTACCTGTGTGTAGGGATCATTATACAGTGCACACAGACACACACACAGCTCATCTACATGAGACACTCTCCTGGCCCTGTGCACATTGGGACCAGCCCTGTGCCCCTTGCCAGCCCTTGAGTTAGCACCTGGTGGAACCGGGAGCTCGCCCTGGCTTGCAGGAGGGCAGAGCAGGGTGGGAGCAAATATGCTTCCAATAGGGAGCATGTGTAGATGTGTTCATAGTAAAGGCTTACTGTGCAGTAAGACTAATGCAAATTAATAACAGGTGTAGATGTGCCCAGTATGACTTGCTCAGGATCAATAACACGGTAGACTCTATACAAGTAAAAAAAAACAAACCAACACTCCAATCCTTGCTGCTAAAAGCACAAACCGAGTAATTTGCATATTTCAGAAATTTTGGTTGTAAAGTTGATTTGTAGAAACAACACTTGACACTTACCTGCAAGCCCTTCTAGGACAGTGCATGCTGATTGAATTGGATTATGTGCTACGTTTCTTCAAGAATGCAATACAAAGTCAATGGAACTACATTGACTTATACTAACTGAAGATCTGGCCCTAGCTGAACAATGAACAGTATCTACTCAGTCACAGTGATACTTATATAAACCCACACTCCTTCACACACTTCAACAATTTTGTAAATGTGTATATTCTTGTTTCATAGCAACCCAGAACAAATTTCAGCAAGTGGCTTAAAATTAAGAACGGAGAGCAACCGGTTCAATGCATGAGAGTCATCCTCAGAATTTGTAACACGCAGGTTGTTATGTTATTAGGCGTTTAACCAGACCCGTGGGAGTCAAGTAGGATGGGTTTGAGAGCCCTTAGTTTATCATTCTTGACAAGAGAAACATTCTTGATGGAGACAGAAAGAGCCCTGAGAAATAGTTGAAAGGTACCTAGAACATATCCTGGAGTATTTTTTTTTACGTAGTCCATTGAGTAGATAAGCAGAAGCTCTGCATTTTAAAGCCACGAGAAAAACAAAGTCCAGGTTTGGCAGACTATTCTCATTATCCCTAAGAACTGAAAATGGAATTGAGGATGTCACCACATTGCATGTCAGTCAACATACTGAAACAAGAAACACTTGGCATCCAATGAGCGAGCAGGTTGCGTTTAGATTCCTAACTTAGCATCACATATGTGGCCAGAAGGTGTCTAGGCTCATATAATAACTGACGTACTCACAAAGAATAGACTGGGTAGCTTTCTGTGGAATCAACTGCTTGGCCTTGCATAATCTCCCTCTGCTCTAATCAACCCTCATGTATTGAATGGTGAGAAAATTCCACCTTTCTTGTTTCTGTTTTTCAGGTGACATGATTTACTCCTGCTCATTTCTGGCGGAGGTAAATTATAAGGAGGTAATAGATGACTCACTGAAAGGACTCTTGGCATCTTTAAAATGTATGGTAGATGTTCTGATAAATCTGGTGAGACTCTGTGAAGGCATGAAAGTTATTCCTGGCATCTTGGAACTTTTACAGTATTGTAATTACATGTGACATACTTTTATTACTTAAAAGAGGCTGGGTTCGACTTGTCAAATTAAAACAAGGCAGTATTAGAGTTTGATGAGAGGCACTTGAAAAACAGCACCACATTCTAAGCTTGAAATATGAATGGGAATATAACACAGTGCAAGATTTATGGAGAGTATGAGAGAGAAAAGCAAGATGAATGGTGTCTAAGTTAGGTAGGTGGAAGCTAGGCCAGGTATACCTGCACATGCTTCCTTCACACAACCAGATGTTGTACAGACATACCCTTAGTGATGCATTATGGAGAGATTTGCTTCCTGCACTCCTATCTATACTTCTGCCCCGAATCAGACGTTATATCCACTGACTCTGTATCTTCACCCTAGACATCACTTGAGCATCTACATTGATGTGGGTCCGGCTGAGCCATTGCCTGCATAGACTTATGTAGTAGGCATGGGTGACACTTTCCCTGCATGAGTATAGGTATTGGTCACACTTCCCTTATGGCTCTGCATGAATGCATGGATGAGAAATACTCTCCCAATGTTAGCCCTGTATCCTTCCATCTTATGATCATTAGTGCAAGGATGGCTCTCCTGTGATCTTCCAAAATGAATATTTCTCTTGAATTGAAATTCACCAGGGAAATGGCATCTCTTTGCCATTTCAAAGAGGCAGAGAGCCTTCCCCAAGTCATGAAATTGGCTTCCACACAGATACTCCCATGGTTTGGAAATGTCTGGATTCTCTCATCTCTTTCCCGTTAACTTTACTGCCTGCTACTTACTGGACTCATTTACTTGTGTGAAATGAATGCTGATTTTGTCCTTGCTATGAGTGTATGAGGTGTAAGGCAAGGGAGAAGTGGGGTTGTAGCCTGGAAGCTCATCAGTTGAGGTTGACATGTTTAACTCTTCATTCAAGTCTTTTTGGGGGAGGGTTTTGACAACACAAAAGACTTTTTGGGGGAGGGTTTTGCATCTACACCTGTATATTAATGCACAGCAATAAACTGTTGAGCCTGGTTGGAGCGGTCCCAGCTGGCAGAGAGTCTGGTGGGGTCAGCTTGCCAGCCCAGAGCTGCTCTGATTTAGCTCAACATGATGTAGAGGGGCTGTCTGGGGCATAAGGCTGTTCCATTGTGTGGCTAACCAGCAGGCAGCCCCCATACTGAAGCACCCTTGTGCCCCAGCCAGCTGGGTCAGCACCTACATGTACATTGCTACACAGTAAAAAACTCTGCAGCAGGATAGGACTTGTATTTACAAGTCCTACCCTGCTGTGGAGTTTATTAGTTTCCTGTGGCCTAAGAGGGCTGCATGTGTAGATGCTGAGATGTTTAATGTGGAGTTAATTAGATAACTCTGCAGTAAATGTCTTGTGTAGATGCGTCCGAGGAGAATGGAGGAGACCATGGAGAACATCTCTCTCTTTCCTCATTCTAAGGGTAAGAATTCTCAGAGAAGTAAGTACCATCCCTTCATTTGGCCTTCCACTTCTAAGGATTTGGGGCATGAACAAAATCATGATGGCCGCTATTTGTTACACTAGCACCTAGAGGCCTCAGCTGAGCACAGGCCCTATTGTGCCAGGTACTGTACAAGCATGTAGGAATAGTCCTTTCCCCCAAGATCTTATATTAACTTGACAATGAGGAATATTGAAAAAGGAGCTTGCCTAAAGTAACAAGGCCAGTTGCATAGCAGAGACTAGAACTCGGGTCCCTGGGCTCATTAGCACATGGTCTCTTTACCAGGTTGTGCATAACCTAATCCATCATACTCTATCAGCATGAAGAGAGGCTCTATTTTGTTTAGTTTGGATATCTGAGATAGGGTAGGATATCAGTAAGTTATAATGTGAAACATGCCAACTATAGAGTTTACTGTTTTTTCCTGGGAGCATTAAAAATAACCCTTTTCATATTAAATTCAGGGAAACAAGCTGCCATCTTTATTTTTCTTTTCACTTCCTGGAAGGCAATCCCAGCACAAGGCTCATTTTCTAACACTATAGTTTGATGCCTTCACTGCAGACTGTTGCATTTGCAAGCGATAGTTAAAAGGAGAATATAAAAGCCAAGTTTTGATATTTTGGTGTCACCACATGCAATCTCAGAAGTTGCTCACCCAGATTAGTGTTGAGGTTCTGCAAAATCATAGTGCAATGAAAGCAAAGAAAGAAGCAGTAATTATTTTGCAATATATCGGCATGACAGTGATCAGTAACTAGAGTTCACTTGGTCTCAACACACTATATTATTGTGTTAGGCACTTATTATCTGGCACCAAGATTCATCAGATTATACACACACATTCGCTAGTTGGCTCAGAAGGCAGGATGATTAGTTTATTTTGATATGTCAGGGTAAATTTTTAGTTCTGGTTCTAGAAGTAACTGTGTGCTTAAAGTGAAATGACTTACTTGAGATGGATGTCTGCCTCCTGACAGGTTTAGCAGGTCTCCTGAGGAAGGGTAACAGCAATAACTGATTGTATTTGCAGCTGACACCCTCAGACTTGTTAAAGGCTAAAGGGACACATTCTCCAGGAAGGCCACTTTGCAGGGCCAGATGGATCTATACAGGCCAGATACAACCAGATATAACTGTTCACAGTGTACAGTTTCCTCTCTGTGGGGGAAAACTTTGTGGGTGAAGGTGGCATAGTCACATGCTATGCCAGGTGCTTTACAGCCTGATCAGGAACATGGCAGGATTGGGCAGGTGTAGGGCTGGAAGAAAGCAGTTCTGCTATGCAGGGGTGATTGGTGCCTCCTGAGTCTGGGGGGTGGGGCCCACACAATTTGTGGGTGGGCCCTGGGGCAGGCCAAAAGCCCCATATCCACTCCTATACTTCTGTGCTGTGGTTTAGTTATCCACTTCCACATGCCACTGGCTTGCGAGGCAAAAAAACTTCCCCATCCTGAGCAGGGCTGAGTCAGGGGCCAATCTCAGGGCAGGGTACATGCCCCCATTGCCCCTCCCACCAGTCGTCTGTGCTGCTATGCATAATCCTTCACCGGTGTACAAGAAATCCATTGGTGAGTGTGTACTACAAAGTGTTCTCTGTGTCCAGCCCACAGAAGATATGAATTGTTATAGCCCAGGACTGGGGAACCTTGGTTCTTCAGATTACACTGTAGCAGGGCATGTCTTTCTAGTCCATTACCAGATGCCCCAGGTCATAAGTGCTGCCAGTGGGGGGCACAACTCCATGCCACTTCCACCACTGATGCCGCTAAGCATTGGGCCCAGCCAAGCTGCATCCACGTACACCGCTGTTGGTGCAGAAATTGCACTGCTGCTGCCAGCCCCACTGCTGCTGGGCCCTGGTTCTGGCCAGATTGCAGTCCTGTGCCCTGTGCCCCACTGTTGGTGCAGAAATCTGAGGGGGGGACACATGTCCCCCACCCCCAAACGTATTGCCAATGCAGGTCATCCAAGAGAGCAGTCATTACATAAGGGCACTGAGACCCCATAGAGAGAGTATGGCCCAGCATTTAGAGCACTGGCCTGTGACTTGGGAGAAATTTCAAGTCTTTGCTGTGCTGCAGACTTCCTCGGTGATCTTGCGTAAGTCACTAGTGCCCAGACCCAAAAAAGGCACTCAGCTTGAGTGGAGTGTAGGTATCTGTGTCCAAGAGTGCAATCCACCATCCCCTTGCACAACTGCTTAGGCACTTACATTTTCCACAGAAAAGTAGGTATCTATAATTAAATTCAGCCACTGTACATACCTGGAGGTAATGAAGTTGTGACTGAATTGAGTGTCATGGCATCTGCCTTCTGTTGAAGGCTGCTTGGGATTCACAAATAGGATGTCCCTCCATCCAAGTCCTCTGAGGGACCCAATCTGGAGGCATGCTCAGAGCATGCTCAACACACACTGACAGTATTGAGGTCAGCACAAAGCACAGTTTTATAGGATCATAGGAAAATAGGGCTGGAAGGGACCTCACAAGGCCATCTAGTCCAGCCCTCTGCTCAAAGCAAGATCATCCCTGACTTAAACCATCCCACCTAAGTGTCTGTCTAACCTGCTTTTGAAAGTTTCCAAGGATAGAGAGTTCACAACTTCTTTAGGTAGCCAGTTCCAATCCCTGGCCACCCCCATAGCCAGAAAGCTCCTCCTAATTTCCAGGCCAAATTTCCCCTGCTGTGGCTTGAGGCCATTGCTCCTAGTTTTGTCTCATACAGTCACAGAGACAAGCCCATATCCATCCTCTCTATCATCCTACAAGTATTTGAAGACTGCTATCAAATCCCCCCTGCCTTCTCTTCTCCAGACTAAATAACCATAGTTCTTTTAGCCTTTTCTCATAAGTCTTGACTTTCAGGCCCCTGAACATTTTTGTTGCCCTAACTCTTTTCAAACTGCTCATGTCCTTCTTGAAGTGTGGGGCACAAAACTGGATACAGTACTCCAGGTGGGGCCTCACCGGTGTGGAACAGAATGAAAGATCACTTCCCTTGATTGCAAGTGACATTCCTATTAATTTGACCCAGGCAGCTGTTCAAAAAAGATGGTGCAGGTGCTACCCACCCTTTATTTAATATTTCTGGAGTGCTCACCTTGAAACTGGAGACCTGGTTTTAGGGCTTCCCCAGCTGAGTGGACTCCAACTCCTATATCTGACCTCACTAACCAGCATATATCTGATAAAGTAGGCTGTTGCCTATGAAAGCCCATGCCTGTCTGAAAGAGTTGATCTCGAAGTTACCACCTTGCCCTGACTTCCATGAGCAGGCTGACCATCTGGAAATCCTGGAAATCCAACACACTGCCCCCCCCCTCACCCCCCCTTCCCCTAATGTGCTCACAAGTCAGCAGGGTTGGGGCTACATGCTGGGCAGGTAGTGGTGCCTGCCCGCCTGCTAGGTGCTCCTTGCTGCTCTGACTCTTGGCTAGACTGTGTTCCACACTCCTGTGTTTCTGGGACGCCCATTATAATTTTCAACAGCCAGCTGGGACCAGCCTCTGAAATATGGGTCTGTTCTGGCTAGAATGGGACATCTGGTCATCCTGTTCATGAGGCTGTAGGCTGGATTCAGAGCACTCTTCAGTCCTCCTGTTGAAGCTGTGCCACTGTGAATACAACAGTCATCTAACAAGGGGGTGGGGAGGGGCTGGAGGAGAGAGAGAGGGGAGAAGGATAGGGGAGAAGTAAATTTAGATTGGATCTCAGGAAAAATGTCCTTACTGTTAGGACAATGAGGCAGTAGAATAGACTGCACAGAGAAACTGTGAAATCTCTATTGTAGTTTTTCAAGAGAAGGCTGGATAAGCATTGGACAGGGAAAACTAAGGGGTGGCATTCCT